GCAGGAGACTCTATACCATTCTGGAGAAATGGCTATCCAATTTCTTCTTAAAAGTCTCCAGTGATGGAGTATCCATAACTTCTGGAGGTGAGCCATTCTACTAATTAATTGTTCTCACTGACTGGAAATTTCTTCTTATTTCTAAGCTGGTTCTCTCCTTGATTAGTTTTCATCCATTACTTTGTGACTTGTCTTCACTGACTTTGAGAATAGGTTAATTCCTCTTTTTAATGGTAGTCCCTCAAATATTGCTATCACGTCCCCCCTAGTCCTTCTTTTTATTAGATTAGACATACCCAATTCCTGTAACAGTCTTCATATGTTTTATCCTCCAGCCCTCTAATCATCTTTATTGCTCTTTTCTGCCCTCTTTCTAGAGTCTCAATATCTTGTTTATAGTATGGTAACCAAAACTGGATGCAAATATTCCAGGTGTGATCTCACTGAAATAATAATTCATAGGATTTAAATAAACAGAGTGCAAAATAGTAATATAACTATATTAAACGTACAACCAACAAAATAAAATAAAAAACAAATATACTAATAAATTTAGAAAGCAGAACCGTAACCTGAGGAACATACACATAACAGCGGCTAACAAAATAGCTACAAGTTCTCCTTCTTGGTTTTCTTCTTCTCTTAGACCAGGCCAAGTCCAAAAGTGCCAGGGAATTTCTAGAATCCTGGCATTCTGACAAATCAGCCATCAATAGACACATAGACATTAACAACATCTATAGACTATGCAAAAGAGACAATCAACCAGCCCAAAAGAGATCAAAAAGACTCCAAAACCTCTCCACCAGCAATCAGCACCCAGATGAGCAAAGATTAACTCCAAGGTTAACTTTAGACCAACGTCAAGTAAACAACACCCCAGTCAAGAAACTACCAAAGAGCCATCAGTAAACAGCCCAACCAAAGAATCTCTAAGACCATCCCACGCCCACAAACAGGCAAGTCACCAGAAAATAAACTGACAGTAAACAGCACTCTTTACTAACACTGATGATGTTATCTATTTAGGGTAATGAAACATCTGCAAGAAAACAAGCAAGCTCAGAGAGCACCAAGGATCCTTTATGTCAATCCTGAGCTACAAATATTCTCCTTTATTGGTTTCTTCTTCTCTGTATGATATACTATATTTGCAAGATATACTTAGAATTTGTTGCTCACAGCAAGCAAGAGGCACAGAGAAATCTTGTGCCAAACAACAGCTGTCTTGTTTTGCCTACCAAAGGGAATCAAACACCACCCACATTTTTTAGGATATAATCTTGTATTCCAAGTCCCAACCTAAATTTAAGATGACTTATTTTGTAGCTTGGATTTAATTACTTTGGAGAAACTAGAGAAAAATCAACAGCTTTCATTTATATTTTCTTCCATTTAGTAAAAAACAAAACAAAACAAAAAAACCAATAGTGCTAAGGAATAGAAATGCTGGACTCAGAAATCCTTCAAAATGTAACACCTCATTCCTTGTTTGACTTTATGTAGATTAAGGATGGATTATATGGTAATGGAAAGATTAAATGAGTTTGTAAATAATCTTGTTATAGATGGCATAGATTTATATGTTAAGAAAAAAATTAAATCTATTTTTCAAAAAGATTTTTAAAATGTTTCTCGACATAAACAGAATTCTATATGTAAAAAGCATTAGGCTTAGGCAGTTGTTGATTTAAAAAAAGTCTGATGTCACATGTCTAGAAATTAATATATTCCTGAAGAGAAAAAAAATCGGAGAATACACCAAACTGGCTTTTGAATATATCTTACAAATATATTATATATATTTCTATTTAAAATTTCCTTAAATCCTATCATTCCTTCTTATCTTGACAAAATGAGTAAAAAGAGTCTCAGTGACCAATAAAGTTGCCTTTCTACCAGTCATTTCTTTTTTATTGTTGCCTAGAAAGGCTTCCCCTTTTCACACATTATACTAACTAAGTTCACAAGGTTCTCAATGTCACAATTCAACCTACTAGACATGCAGGATCAACCATAATAATTAACCTCACAAGAGTTCAAGAGACTCCTATCCGAAGAAAGACTTCAGCTACTCTAATGGTATGTGGGAGTGACCTTAGAGCTGCAGTCAGGGTAATAGTCAGATATGAGGAAACGTAGCTTGCAGAATGAATGGCAATGGGGGAGAAATGTACTGGCAAGATTCACACAATAAAGTAGAATGAGTTCACATGGGTGTGCGTCCTCTCTGGACTACCTTGTAAGGCTGGCATCAATCTTGTAAGTCTCCTCCGTCACCTTTAAAGCCCAAGAAACTAGGAAGGGTCTCTTCTGAGACATTTACCAATGCCCACATTCCTTCTGCAAATTAAGCTACCTGTAATCTGACGGCTCCAGTGGTGGGTTTCTACAGGTTTGTCCCAGTTCGGGAGAACCGGTAGCGGCAGCGGTGGGAGGCTCCACCCACCCACCCAGACCTCATCACGGATGCTCTGCTCATGTGTAGAAGTGCAGAAGCGCAGAAGAGCCACGCGCAAGCAAAGCAAGCATGCGCACGTGCACGCTCACAGTTCCGAAATGGTAGCGAAGGTAAGTGAAACCCACTACTGGACTGCTCCCCTGGTTGCAGCTCTTCCCTCTGCCTCCCAAACTCATTCCCATATCCCATTACAGCTACTGAAATCACCTCTAGCCCCAAACAAGAGGCAAAATGGCTGATGCTCTTATTTAATATCCTGCCTCAAAGAGAGGCTTTCACAGTCTGCAGGAAGACAGACAGCTTCTGATTCATGACATGATCGATGGTATTTCTCTATACGCATGCCCAGTTTTTATTAAAATGTATAATGACTTAGATGGGGGAGATTTCCCCCTGAAGAGGTTTGAGCGTATAATTCACATGCATCATTGACATAGCCAGTCATAAAACATCTTCCACTACTGATTGAAACACGAAGCACTGGGGAAATGTGTGCGCTGAAACCAAGTTTAACACAACTATGATCACATTTCAAAAAAGAAAAATAATCAGACTGGAAAGGACAATTTTAAATCCTCCTCCCCTCAAAACTGAAGAGCTGAGGAAAAATATGCAAAGGAAAAAATACATTTAAGGTTCAAATTACAAAAGAACAGCAGTCTGCATATAAATCAATTACTGCTCGAGAATGTCTGTTTACTCAAGAGTAAACATTGTAAATGAAAATATGTTTAGACGCTACTAAGGCTTTTAAATCAAACTGCATCCATTTATTCTCCAATTTTTTTTAATATCCTCAACTATAACAGCAAATGAACAAATACACGTGTTCACTTTTGAGTGGTTAAAATTCTAAAGGCAACCAGTTTCATTTGAAAACCTCCCAAGACCTCTGAGAAGGATCAGAGATTTTTGATTAATAGTCCAGTTTAGTGAGAGAAAATCCATTTTGTGTTGCTATTGTTCAATTCTTGGGGTTAGGAATTCATGCCCATCATCCAGGAAAGCTGAAAGCCCCAGCTGACTTTCCTGACCCTGAAATATACTATGTCCTGTGGAAATCTGACATTATTACACGAAAGCTTTGTCACATGAAAAGCAAATATTTGAATTCCCTTGACCCAGTGATAAATTCAGATACTTTTATACACATTATATTACAAGGGTGAAAGGCCTTGATGATTATTGGAGAAAATTATAACTTTCAATTATACCTCTCCCAAGCAGACCTTGAACAAGCTACTGCAACAAAGCTCTCATTAAAGTGTTTTAATCTATTCATAGCTTTTTTAACCTTCAATCAGCTTCTTTGATTCTCAGTTAAACATATGTATTATTGGGGTAAAGGTTCTTTAGTAATAATTGAGTCTATGTTTTCAAATGCTGTACATCATTTTGTAGTGCTGTTGTATATTTTAACAGAAGTTGTCATCCGTCAGATTCCAATCCTAGTATAATACAAGTACCATTATTCATTAAGAAGTGGGAAGCTTCAGTGATACTTGGGAAACATTAGTGTTTGCAGAAATACCAATAAATGTGTACATGAAAATTCTCATATGCATGGAAATAGCCTACAGATACTTGCAGTTAGAATACTGATGGGAGAAGAACAGAATATTCTTTCGGATAGCAGAGCTGACCAATTGATGATGTGAACAGGAACATCACTCTAAAGCATAACATTTGTTTTATAATCCATTCAATTACATGTCCCTCAGAATGTGTGAGTTAGGAAATAAGAAGTGACAACTCTGCTACTCAGAGAGGAATTTCTACTTGGGTTCAGAGCTGTATTTTAGCAGAAACTGCTTTCCATCCTACCAACACTGCGAGGCTGGGAATATAATATAATGCAATGGTGTTTCACTAATTTTAGGGAGCACCTAGTACTTCCTAAAATTTGTCCAAAATAGGGAATATAAGCAGGGCAGAATTTCAAATCAATTTCAGAAAATAGTATGCATTGGTTCAAAACAATGCAGTTGGTACGGTGTAGTTAAACTGTTATTAGTGATTAAAGGGTTGAACTAGATTCAAGTTTTGCCTCCACTTGGGAAGGCCCTGGGTGACTTTGGGCCCATTACACTTCCTCAGTTGAACCTATCGTACAAGATTGTTATGGGGAACATTGGAAGAAGAAGTGTAACACATGAACCCTTGGGACTCCTAGAAAGAAGCAAAATATAAATCTAACTTTAAAAAAAAGTTATTATCAATTTGGAAATGAGCACCACTAAAATTGATCTGAAACTCTTAGGAGTTCTTGTGAACACGATTTAGAAAATCTTGGCAGGGGAGATTTAACAGCACCACCCAACATTGTAAAGTCAATATACAGCTTGTCTTCATTACTGCTATATTATATTAATGTTTGGATGATATTAGAAGACATTATCAATCACTAGGAGGGAACTGACTCTGACCTGGTGAGCAAATGTGCCTTGAAAAAAAAAAATCAGTGCAGAAAGTTATCTTCAGAACGTTTTCTTGTCAAAAAGAAAATGCCAAATGTAGCTTGTAATTTAGAAATACTTACAACTGATAGTAATCCCAAGTTCCACACCCCTTTTCTTAGGTAGTTTCACATGGAAGGTACCACTGCTTGGAATGACAGATTCTGTGGAACAAGGAGACCAATTAAAAGGGCAAGATCAAACAAGAGGGTCATGGGGTTGGTTGCTTTGTCTACCTGTACTAAAATTCCATGTACCATCTACCTGTACTAAAATTTCCAATATGTGAAGATAAGTACAAAGTTTAGTGCAAAGTACAAAGTGTAGCACAAAGTTTACTTTGGCATTGGAAAAAGTATTTGATGAAATACTTTTACCTTAAACTGTCTACTGTGGACCCTTCACGTTTCTTAAGAGGTCCCAAAGGGGGCGGGCATAAGCGCACCAGCGTGCCTACCATCCCTATCCTAATGTCCCCATTTATGTGTACTCATTTTATGTGTTTATGGCTATCTTTTGCTCATTTACAGTATATCCTTTTATTTGTGCCAAAATGTTTTCATGTGTCCATGTCTATAGTCTATACTCTTGTTTCCTTGTACTTGTTGACAAATAAATAATAAATAAAATAAAAATAAATAAAGACCACTGACATGAGTCACTTCTCAGTTTTCAGTGGCTTTCCTATATGCACACCTTCCTATTCATACTAGAATTTGCTGTCATTGGAATCAAAACCTGCAAGACAATTGGGCCAGATCATGTTGGATTCCAGAACATTGTTAGATACAATACTTTTTGGGCAGAATTAATGGGAAGATCATAATGAATGAAGCTTCCTTACGTTTTCTGTAATATTTTCTGATAGTTCAAAAGAAGTTGTGTCTTAATGAATATTTCCTTACTGTATTTAGTCCAGTACAGTCAAGTGATCAATAATATAATACAGATGACATTTATAGGTAGTCCTCAATTTATGACAATTGAGCCCAACATTTCTATTGCTAAGCAACACAGTTGTTAAGTGAGTTTGCCCCATTTTATGATTCTGCTTGCCACAGCTGTTAAAGTTAGTAACATGGCTGTAAAGGGAATCTGGCTTCCCCATTGACTTTGCTTGTCAGAAGGTTGCAAAAGATGATCACATGACCCCGGGACATGGCAACCATCGTAAGTACATGCCAGTTGCTAAGCATCTTAATTCTGACCCTGTGACCACAGGGACACTGCAATGATTGTACGTATGAAAAATGGTCATCAGTCACTTTTTTCAGTGCCATTGTAACTTCAAATGTAAGACATGGACTACCCGTACATTTAAAATTATATGTGACATGGTGGGTCCTAAACTGTCTAAATATATTTAGTATTTTTGTAGATCAGCATCTAAGAGACAAATGCTCTAATTTACATCATTTCTGAAAGAAAAAGTTGTCTGCAAGTGATATCTTTTTCCCTTTCTTGGCCTCAACAATTTGAAAAAATTTTTTAGGGCTTTGCAGCTCAGATTCTATGACTTTATACTATAATTATAATTTTATTCTATAAAATCCCAGTTGTTTTAACAAGATCAAATTAAGTAAGAAGTTATTAGTTTCCTCCCGAGATTTAGCCATTTTTAGTTTTACAACTATAGACACATCAGTGCTTTGACAATTATCTAGTGACAGGAGCAGCCTGAAAGGGGCCAGCAGCTGAGGACATGGAGAATGGAGGAGCTGCGGTAACATTCTGTGCCAGATGTGTTCCCATTTACTGAAAAGAGAACTGGAGCTTTATAGGTGTCTCAGTAACATCAGGTGTCTCCTATACCTAAACACAATCACATTAATTGACTCTGAATAACACTTTTCCGTCTTTGTTAGTTACAACATAGTGCAATTGTAAAAGTGCTAATTAAAATCAGGAAGATCCAGATAAAATTGCAGGCTCTCAAGAAACCTCATGTGGTCATCATCTCTTATCTTCATCCAGAAATTTGTAGTAGTGTGTGAAAGGAGTATTTCATATGCATAGGCATAATAAATATTGCCAGTGACAGATGAAAGTACAGATATAGGTAAAGGTAAAGGTTCCCCTCGCACATATGTGCTAGTCATTCCCGACTCTAGGGGGCGTTTCAAAGGCGAAGAGCCAGCGCTGTCCGAAGACGTCTCCATGGTCATGTGGCCGGCATAACTAAATGCCAAAGGCACACAGAACGCTGTTACCTTCCCACCAAATGTGGTTCCTTATTTTTCTACTTGCATTTTTTACATGCTTTCGAACTGCTAGGGTTGGCAGAAGCTGGGACAAGTAACAGGAGCTCACCCCGTTACGCGGCACTAGGGATTCGAACCACCAAACTGCTGACCTTTCGGTCGACAAGCTTAGCATCTTAGCCACTGAGCCACCACGCCCCTCAATTTAAATATAGTCAAATAGTCAAACTCAGATATAGTCCTCCATTTAAAAATATTCATTTAGTGACTGTGAAAACTTTCAACAGCATTGAAAAAAGCGACAACCAATCCACATATTGCAGCAATCCCCATTGTCACATGATCATAATTCAGGCACTTGGCAACTGGCATGTATTTATGACAGTTGCAGCATCCTGGGGTCATGTGATCACCATTGGTGACTTTCCCAGCTGGTTTCTGACAAGCAAAGTCAATGGGGGAAGCTGGATCTTCTTAACGACTGCGCGATTCACTTAACTAGTTATTTGCTTAACAATTGCAGCAAAGCAGTTTGTAAAATTGGTCATGACCTGTTTAACTACTCCGTTCTTTAGCAATGGAAATTCTTGTCCTAATTGTGGTCATAAGTCAAGGACTACCTGTATACTTTATCTTATTCCTAAGCCCGGTGAACCGATCTGAATCAGAAATTTGGAAAAAGTTACTTATTTCTCCTAAAAACGAGTGAGCTTTTTTAGACAGAATCAGACTATTCACAAACAACTTACTTTTAATCAACATAAATTTTACCAGTCTGTGATACTTTCCAACCAAACTATCTACATCTGAAGAATTCTGGCATTTTATCTGCTCAAAACATTGCTTTGACATTATTTGATTGTCTTTCCCTTAAGTAGACCTACTTGACTTCTCTTAATGTACTTCTACGTAACTGTTAATACATATTTGGAATTTTATATATGGCATACATTGGTTCTGGCTTCAGAAATCAATATGCAGTTGTCCAATACATCAAGATCATGCATCATGTCTGGTCTCTGGGACACTAAAAATAATCTGGTCATCTACTGTTCTATGCTGCTGCTAACTATATTGAAAACAAAGCAACGTAATTAAAAAGAAAATCAGGATTAAGCAGAAAAAAATATCCATACCTGCCACATCAAATTCAATCTCTAATACAACTTTATTCGTAAGTGCTGCATCCCGCAACAGCTGGTTGGCTTCCTCCATTGTCCCATCTTCAGTTGCAATGCTGTTGATGGAAAGTACTCTGTCTCCAACTTGTAGAAGGCCACACCTTTAATGAAGAGTGATGAAGGAGGTTGGGAGAAGCCAAGAGAAAAGGTCATTTATCAAGACTACATAGCCCCTTTCCCATGACATCAAAGAACAAGACTGATGGGGAATCCAATATGAAAGCATACATATTTAAGACAGTCAAATAAGAGAGGATTCACACATGTGAATGGACGACCTGTAATATCTTCAAAGTCTGATAGGGCTTTCCCTTCCCGATCTCTTCTATGGTAAAGGTAAAGATTTCCCCTGCACATGCATGCTAGTTGTTTCCAACTCTAGGGATCAGTGCTCATCTCATTTCAAAGCTGAAGAACCAGCACTGTCCAAATATGTCTCTGTGGTCATGTGGCCAGTATGACTAAACTCCAAAGGTGCATGGAACGCTGTTACCTTCCCACCAAAGGTGGTCCCTTATTTTTCTACTTGCATTTTTTATGTGCTTTCGAACTGCTAGGTTGGCAGAAGCTGGGACAAGTAACGGGAGCTCACCCCATTACGTGGCACTAGGGATTCGAATCGCTGAAATGCCAACCTTTCGATCAACAAGCTCACCTTCTTAGCCACTGAGCCACTGTGTCTCTTCTACCGCAGTGAATTAGGTTGGAATCTATCTGAGCTTCTTTCTAATGCTCTTACTTCCTGGGTTCAACACATGCTTTTGTTTTCATAACTACTTCTACATAGTTTCTCCATGATTTTCTACATATGCAAAGATACATTAAACTAACTTGAGTGTTATATAAAAGCTGTTTTGAAGCACACTTTAATCTTACAGCAATCCAATTAGCCATTCCTGACCCCACTGTCATTCAGACTAATGACACAAAAACTACATGATATGTGCAGTATTGCAAGTTGCAGCTTATTCAGGTCACTTCAGTGCTTCAGCAAATCAGCTAACTTTTTTTTCCTTCCTATTTCCTTCCTATTTTCCTCCTTGAAGCCAATATACCCTTGTGTTCCTTAATAGTTTGAAAAGCTAGTGCTTTTCTATATATAAGACTGAAGAGCTACCTGGATAAGCAGCAAAACGTTTCAAACCAAAAAAGAAAAGAAGTCCATTTGCCATGACTCAACTTCCAAGTCAGTACTGTATTGCCCTAAGATACACTTTTTATACAATGTTGTCTTACATTTATTGTATTGATAATTCTGCATTTGGAGTCTTGGGATAACAGGAACAGAAGAAAAACCAAAAAGAATTACAGGTGGCTTGACTTACAAACACAACTAGAACTGGTATTTTGATCAAAAGTCACTGCAGTTATAAGTCAAGGGATCCACATGACTTGCTCTGATTTTTTAAAACCATTTTTGAAGCAATCGTTAAGTGAATCATGTGGTCATTAAGCAAATCCATTCTCTTGAATGGGTGCATTTTGCCAGGGACCGACAGTAGTAAATTTGAGCCATTGCTATGTGGCATCAGTGTGATCATGTGACAGGGGGCGCAATGTTTTATGATGATCAAAATCACTCTGGATAGTGAGATGGGCACTTTTTGGAAAGAAAGGAAGGGAGGGAAGGAGGGAGGGAGGGAGGAAGTTTTATGAGCCATAAAGCACCCTTTTCGAGACTGTCATAACTTTGAATGACAGATCATAAGTTGAGGACTAAAAAAGTGAGGAAGAATCAAGCCACAAGAAGAGATTCTGAGTAGAGGAGGCAAAGCCAGTTTTAGAAATAAACTGAACAATAAATAGATGGATGTAGCAGTCCTCAGAATATGGGAACAGAGAGGTGTTGCATAGGAACCACTGCAAAATCCAGGGGCAGGATTTTAAAATGAGGGAAGACTATCCTTGAAAATCATAAAAAAAAATAATAATGTGCAACTCTGGCAAACCGCATGGAAATGCCACAATTTATAAATGACTGGGTAGATCTTAATGCTTTTAAAAGAAAAGAATTTATTTATGTATAAAGATCTTCCTATTTAGCTATTACAATGAAAAGGCTGGAGAAGCATTTGAGAAACACAGGATCAGCTCTCTCTGTTGAGTGTTTCTGATGTACCATTCACAGATTGGGGGGGGGATCCATTATTTGAACTGAGCTTCTAGCAACATTGTCTAAACATTTTTGCATTTCTAATCAATAGGGGAAAAAATCAAGAACCAATATATGATTTAGCTCAAGAATAGAGTACTTTGAAAATTTAAAAGCTTTATATCTTGGTTGTCTGAGTCCAAAACATTTTCTTTCCCTTATTAGTAGATTGAAAAGAGCTAATAGGATATTTAAGGCTCAAATCCTCCAGCTTTATAAAATTTTGTGAAATGAAATTATAGCCAGTTGTTCCTTTAATAAAGACACTGATGCAAGATATCACATATAATTATGATGCTGCATTTACTTTTTTTCTAAAAAAAATAATAAGAGAATATCTTGGAGATTCACATAGATTTTCAGAAGAATGAATATGAATAAAATCACTGTCAACTTCAAAACGAACCTGGCAGGGGCCATTTTCCTGTTCCTCAGTTGCCACACAGTGTGGGGAGGGAAGAAAAGAGGATGGAATGCTTTGCTAGACACAACACAGAGCTTTCTCATGAGAACCAAGGTCATCTCCACAGGTGACAGTTAAAGTCAGGGGGGAGTGCCTGGAGAACCTGCCAATTAACCTAATTGGCCAACGTGACTTGTGACAATTGGGGAGGGAGTTATTTCTTATTTTAATTATACTGAAACCATGGGAAATATTTGGGGTTGGTTTTACAATTGATCATGCCGATATGATGTATCCAATAAAGAATCTTCCTTTGAGGGAGATTCCAGTCTCAGAGTTCTGATTTGCTTGGATTTGTTAGTCGGAACCATGACAGCCAATTTTCCATTAACAAAATAATCTAGAACCATTAAAAATGTATCACCAATTTTTGATTTTTTAATTTTTAAATAGCAGGTATTTGCCTTCTCCCTCTTTCTTTTCTATTCCATTTAAAACACATACTACATATATAAGTGGCTAGAGACTAGAAATAATGGATAATAAAAATAGGGGTGAATTTGAAAATGGAAAGAATGAATATGATAATGTATAGAATTTAAAACAATTATGACTGTTAAGAAGTATAATGTAATTAAAAGAGAAAGGGACAAGAAGAAAATGAAATAGTATAAAGGGAATCGGGGAGAATGTAAATATTAGAAAATGACCACCATGAAATATATATATATACACTATATATATATATTATAAAGAGAGAGTAATTTGCTCCTGGAAGCACGAAGCCGAGAACACCAGCCTGAAGATGACGAATGAGACTTCGTCGAAACGTCGCCAAGACACTTCCAATTTTACGTGGGAGAAGACCCGAATAACCAAAGACCTACATACAAACACCCGCGAAAACCTGAGAAAACATATATATATATTATATATATATATATGTTTTGTGTTTAAAATAAAACAAAACACATACTACATAATATGTTACATGCTACACATACATTAGTTGCTCGAGATTGGTTGCTAGCTAAGAAGGCAGGACAGGCTAACAGTGAGCCACAAATTTACTTGCCTGCCTACCACTGATCAAGATTGCTATAGCTATGTCCCCAAATGCAGAGGTAGGGGACTGTTTTCCTGTTTGCAAACTCTGGAGCTGCTCCAACTTCTTTAGAAGAATTATGTGATTGCCTGGATGAATTCTTGTTCCCTCCTTCCCAATTCCATGGCCTCATCTGTGTTGTTCAGTGCTTTGGAGGCACTTGGAGCCACTTAGAATAGAAATACAGATGAATGCTAGTTCTCCTGAGGTTGAGGCTAGAATACTAGAAAGATTATATCATACCCCATACTAAGTACTTTTAGAATTCACTGGGGTACAATAAGAGACTGCTGCACTCTTGATGTTCAACAACAATAAAAATATGAAGACTCCTGGATAGCCTCGCATATAGGGGTGGGCTGCTGGGGTTTGTAGGGTTTGGGAGAACCTCTAGCTAAGATTCTGTGCAGTTTGGAGAACCCCCAAATCCCACTCCTGGGCTCACCCCATCCACCCTGCCCCTTCCCTCTCAGGAGTCCCCACGCAGCCCGTATTGAATGCAGGTAAGTGCAGGGTGCGTGCAGAGGCTCAGGGAGGGCAAAAAACAGGCCTACCAGAAGTTCAGGAAGGCCAGAAACAGGCCCGTTTCCAGCCTCCAGAGGGCCTCCAGAGCCTGAGGAAGCCATTTTTGCCTTCCTGGAGGCTCAAGGAAAGCCTCTGGAGCCCAGGGAGGGCAAAAACACCCTCCCCGCTGTGATGCAGGAGGCTGACTAGGCCACACCCATCATGGCCACACCCACCCAGCAACCGGGCAGAGAACCCCTTGCTAAAATTTTTGAAGCCCACCCCTGCTCGCATAGCATATGACATATATGTTCATGAGGACTGGTCAGGAAAATCTGTATCTGACTCTAAGAGAAATTTAGTGCTAATCAGGGATGAAGGGTGTTGATTTAAAAGACATAGTTGAATCTCAATGGTGTGATTTGGGTGTCCTCACAGTTAAATGACAGACAGAAGCCTGTTTCCTACAGCATTATTCTTCAATGCCTGAGAAAATTTGAGCACTTTGTCATGGCCAGATGGCATCTGCAGCTGAATTTAAGCAAAGAGCATTTGGTCTTTATTCTAATAAGGAGTGACTGCTTGATCAAAGGTTTCAAGATAGAGCAGTTGTGCTATTAGTGGAAGATGGAAAGCATACAATGCATCACGATCATCCTTGCAAAATTCCACATATCCTTAACCTTGTGATCAGCAGCAGTAGTAATAAAAGTGTTCTTATTTTGATTTAGCTAAGAAGAATTTGAAGGTGTGACTCTACCTTCAGGTATTTCTCTTACTTATCCAGTGTAAAAAGCAAAGAAGGAAAGGAGTTGGCATTTTTTCCATAACTGCTGAGTCTTACAAAGTTAGCTGTTCTCACACTCACTCATCACATGTAAGTAATAACTTGTAGAACAAGCTTTCCAAGTATTCACATAAAATTGGGTCAACTGAT